TAAAAAATCTATTATAATCGAAAGTGCTCCAGAGGAAGGATAAGAAATAACACAAATTTTGATGACTAGAATTAGAGAAATCAGAAACTCATAAAATAAGAAGCATGCAAATCAAGAAGTTCCCGTGACCCAGTACATAACCAATTATAATTTGGATTGAGAGTTAAAAGCTAAAATATAGAAAATATAGTAATAGTAGACTTACTTTAGGAATAAGAAACCAAATTAGGAAATGCTAGTGTTGAAGATAAAATAATAGAAGCTCTACCACCGGTACTGTCTTGCGATTTTGTCGTAATATCAATTATAAAGTGTGTTTATAAGGGAAATTTAAAACTAAAGACTAAATATATTCAGCCAATTTCCGCAGAAGCAAAACAATAGGTTTAATAGATTGTTTAGTATCATAAAAGTGCGCACATGACCATATATGAAGTATTGAAATGTTATCAACAAACGTTAAAAAGATACACATACCCTGAAGTAACCTGGATCCATAATTGGAAGAGGCAGGAGTAAAAGATAGGATCCGACCTGGCAGCCTTTGCTTGAGCTCATCCGTAGAAAATGTCTGTGGGTAATCGTCGCATCGGTAACTTTGTGTTGGTATAAAATATTCTACATCGGGCTTATTTCCTATGATATATTTAGAAGACGCATCTAAACTATATAAAAATTGAGATATACAAATTACCGGACCAATACTCTACTCTATTTGCGCGATTTAGAGGTGCCTGTGTTGGCAGATTTGCGTGCGCGTAGGAAGGGCTAATATCTTCTTCAAATTCAGAAATTTCTATTTCCTCATTGGAACGAGATGAATAACGAAAATGCTTTGGTTTAGAACGCTTTCTTCTGGGGAGGCCTTTTCTAGAAGGTAGATCCAAGCACTCGCCTAGACCAGGCTCAGGCACTGGAACCATCTCGGGGCTATTTGACGATTCATTTCCAACAACCTCCTCTCGTACACCCAACAGATCATTAGGATCCATTAAAAAGAGATCTCCATATGGATCTCTTCCTGTTCCTACATCATGATCATCAAAGGTAATTTCTGTAAGTTCAGCTTGTAGAACTTCAGCATTGTGAGTAAACCCATCATTTTTAAGGCCTTGATCTTCATCTTCGTATATCTCCTGTTTTATCACACCACCTGTGAACAAAATCTCGGCCATGATTAATCGACTGTCATTTATTTTAATAAAAATAGGTAAAAAGTAAAGCTGTTAAATTCAAGGCTGCTGCCGCGCCAGCCGGTTGTTTATACTAAAAGTGACTAAAACAATGTATAGTTTTTGTAAACAATTATTAAAATTTAGCTAAGTTTTCTTTGTAGATAATTAAAATAATGTCGAGCCAATTGAAGAAAATGCATTTTTAACTTATGTCTTTCTCACAAAAATCTTTGTTTCAGGCTGCAATTACTACCGCTCTCATGCCCTAAGACATTATTTTAAACGATAATATTTCATTCTTCTCATTAAGTGACTATATAACCTAAACTAATAATTTCAGTGTGCCTAGCTGCGTTATGCGAGGTAAGAGGCCTATATATATATTAAAAAATCTGTACTAACAAATGTATATATCTACTCATGGTTATCACATTTAAACTTGCTCCACAAATAATTACTCTTAGCTGTAAACCTTTTTAATCAATTGGTTATTTTTTATTCCTTAAAATGCTATTAGAAAAGTCTTTATACTGCATTCCTTGACATAATTTCAACTTTTATCATACCTCATCGTATTTGTTAAGTAAAGACTCGCACAAGCATAGTTCTTTATCAGTTTAAATATAACTTTTCTTTGTATAGATATTGACTAAATTTGCAATTAATTTACCATTTTACAATGCATTCAAAAGAGTAATTTAAAAAATGTAGAATTAATTCACGTAGGTTAAATTATGTGCAATTTTAAAGACACAACTAAACCCTAAATAATTGATAAAATGAGAGGTGATAAATGATGAATTGAGCTTTAAAATAATCCGTACTATTAAAGTGTAACATTTGGCTGGAAATAAATAAAATCAAGCAGACATATTCATTGAACTTTAGCTTAATCTATTTTTTATCTAGATATTGATTGATTGTTTCTGATAGCAAGTCAATATGAGACACTTAACGAACGAATTATGCCATCTATCTGACAAAAACTTTGTTTATTATGGTATCCTTCAGTCCTTTTGAAAATTTTGGTGATTAATATTTATAGATTGGCCTGACTGGAAGCAGACGGGAAATTTATTCGAAGCATTGACTATTGATTACAGCATAGAAATTGAAGTCCCATCGTTTTGAAATTCCGATCTATCTGTATTATATTTTTTACCTCATGTTACGGACGTCGATGGAAGAATGAGCCATTTTGGATATAATTAATGATTACTAAGCTCAAAATGGCCTCATCACATCTTACTCACCTGAGGGTACATGACTTTGCTAACTTACTCAGTGGTCTGGCGATGTGGCTGGCCCGGTGGATGCCCTACTCCCCATCACTAATTGTTTTCAATGTTCAATGATATGCACTGCTCTTTTATTGCCTTTGATTATTCTTTAAAAAATATTTATCTTTGCTTTAATAATACGGTCCCGAAATCCTAAAGGAAGCTTATTCTTAGACCATTCTTTATTGTGTGCTTATTTGGCGCCTTTTTTTTGTTCGGAAGGTCTTTTCATAAAAATTGCTGGACTATGAGCGACAGATAAGGTAAATGCTTATCTAATATCCCTTTCAAACTACAAAGAAAATATAAAAATCATGTGTATTCTCTTCGTTAACTTAAATATTTACCCAAATTTATCTATTTAGCGTTGCTAAAAAGCCAAGTAATCAACCATATAGGAATATTTTTAACAAATGTATTGCAATAAAGAGATGCAATATTAATTAAAAAATCCTGAAGGCATCGTGTCATGTTGATAATCTTAACTTAATGCCAGATGTTAATAAGAATTATGATTTATAGATAAGTACTAAGGTTAGAAATCGTATAACTAAATATGTAAAATGTAATATAAATGCGATTAAATAATTGGAGAAAGAGGTATCACAATATTCTAGAGATTTAGATAAGCAGCTTATAGGCGTAGAGTATATATAATATAGGTATGGATAAGACTGCGATACTTAGTGACAAATTTATACCTATCTATCATATGATAAACAAATGTTTGAAATGCTCCCAAAGAAAAAACTGTTTTCATTGCCAGCTTTAAATTATTTTAATCGGACAGTTTAACTCAAACTTAAAGGGAGTGAGCAATTATTTTATTCTTCCTTTTCATGCTTGCGAATATGTGTTGCGGCTGCAGATGGCATACCAAATAG